CTGTAAATGGCACAGGAGCTGGCTTATCTTTCCCCTGAGGTGCCACAGGTAGATTCAAGCCTGCGACTCCCTGAGGGTTAGTCATCACAGCTCTTTGTACTCCTTAGCCCTTTGCTAGAGAGCTCTGGTGGCCTAGTGGTAAAAAGTTGCCCTGCAATCCCAAAGGCACAAGGTTTGAATCCACCACCTGCTCCGTGGGAGAAGAATATGGGATGGGTAATCTACTCTTGTGAGATTTATTGCCTCTGAAAACCTGCTAGAAGGTCAACTATGGGTCATTTCCAACTTCATGGGACAAAACAACAACAGTTCTTTGCTGTCATGTCCAATGAAACTTGGAACTTGATGGGGCTTTTCCTTGTTCTGGATCTTTCAACTTTGCTACCTCTGACAGATTGCAGTGTTACGGTTTTTCTATGCTCATTTTAGGAAAAAACACTTGTGTTTTCCTTCTCCGACAGGTTTCCACTTTACACAGGTTCTGGCTCTCACAGGTTTTACTGCATTACAGCCTATATCACATTACCATGTACAGCACCAACACATTACTTTTAAAAATAAAAATTAACAGTTGCTGTTGAACAGATTCCAACTAATGGTAACTTACATTTCAGGAAGTACCATATGCACAAGAGTCAGTGGTAATAAAGAATGACGTTTAAGTTGCATTAAAAGCATTGGAAAGAACAAAAAAAAAAAGAAAGAAAAAGGTTCCAGGAAAAGATGGGATACCAATTGACATGTTTCAACCAACAGATGCAGCCCTGAACATGTTCATCAGTCTATGCCAGGAAATTTGGAGGACAGATGCCTGGATAACTAACTTGAAGAGATCCATTATTTGTTCCCAACCCCAAAAAAAGGTGACCCAACAGAATGTGGAAATTATAAAACAATATCCTTACTATTACACATGCAAGCAGAATATTGCTGAAGATCATCTAAAAATGGCTAGAACAGTACATTGACAGAGAACTGCCAGAAGTTCAAGTGGGGTTTAGAAGAGGCTATGGCACCAGGGATATCATTGCCGATGTCAGATTGATCCTGGCTGAAAGCAGAAAATAACAGAAGAATATCTGTCTGTTTTATTGACTATACAAAGGCATTTGATTGTGTGAATCATAATAAACTATGGCTAACATTGAAACGAATGGGAATCTCAGAACATTTACTTGTGCTCATATGAAATCTATACTTAGACCAAGAAGTTGTTGTCTGACCAGAACAAAGGAACACTGCATGGTTTAAAGCCAGGAAGGATGTGTGTCAGGGATATATCCTTTCTCCATACCTATTCAATCTCCATACCTATTTTATGCTTTGCACTTCAATAAGCTAGACTCAATGAAGGGGAATGAGACATCAAGATTAGAGGAAGATTCTTCAACAACCTACGTTATGCAGAGGATACAACCTGCTTGCTCAAAATGAGGAGGGTTTGAAACACTTATTGCAGGAGATAAAGAACTACAACCTTCAGTATGGATTCTCAAAGTAAAGACAACAAAGGTCCTCACCACAGGGCCAACAGAGGACATAATAATAGATGGAGAAAAAGCAGCTGTCAATTATTTCACCATCTTGATTCAAAAATCATCACCCTTGGCACCAATAGCCAGGAGATCAGGAAACGTATTGCATTGGGAAAATCTACTGTCAGGAACCTCTCTAAAATACTGAAGAGCAATGATGTCAGTTTGAAGACTAAGGTATGCCTGTTCAGGCCACAGTCTTTTCAATCACCTACTACACATCTGGGAGCTGGACAATGAATATGTAAGAATTGATGCTTCTGAGCTGTGGTGCCAGGAGAGTACTGAGAAGTCCATGGACTGCCAAAGAACAGATACGTCTGGGAGAAAGTGCAGCCAGAGTGCTCCTTGGAGGCAAAGATACTCATACTTTGGACATGTTGCAAGGAGAGGCTATTTCTTAGAAAGAGATAAATGCTTAGAAAGATAGAGGATCAGCCCAACAGAAGAAGACCTCCAATGAGACAGACTGACCCAGTGACTGCCACAATGGGCTCACATGTGTCAGAGCTGATGAGGATGGCACAAGACAGGACAGAATTCAGGTCTGCTGTTCATAGGGTCTCTGTGAGTCATACTTGACTCAGTGGCACCTAACAACAACAACAATGGCAACCCCAAGTGTTTCAGAGGGGAACTGCACTCATGGGGTTCTCAGGGACTGATTTCTCAGAAGTGATTGCCAGACCTTTCTTCCAAGGTACCACTGGGCATAACTGAACCACCAACCTGGAGGAAAACTTTAGACCCACCTGTAGTCTTCTTATCTGGTCTCTCTGAGTATCTTTATATCTGAACCGCCTGTATGTTCTCTGTCCCTTCTGGAATTAGAACTACAGCCCCAGAAGGGCAGAAATCCTTGCCAGCCTTATTCCTGGCTCCATTCCCAGTGCCTGGCACTTAGTAGGAGGGCAATAAATACTTGCTGAAGGCATGAATGACTATCTGGTTCAGTTCTTTCCATCTGTGGTCAGCGCTGTCCAGCTGACACCTCCTATTTGGCAGACCCCACTGGCTCCCTCCCGATATACATAGCCACACTGGGGCCACTAGCTCTGGGCTTTGGACAGCACAGATTCCCTTCGATCATCCCAAATGTACACAGGTGGCACCTGTCCCAGGCAGTGGGCTCCCTGCCCTGGACAAGCTCATTAACATGTGGCAATCTGCTGGCATTGTTAACACAGGGTTGTAGAAATGTAAACCCCGGGGCAGGGCCACAGACCTGGCTCCTGGAAATGGAAAGCAATTTCCAGCTCCTCATAGCCTGAATGAACAGAATCAGCCCAAGAGGCCTTGACTTCACATAGGGGATCTGGGGACAGGCTCCAGGTGTTCCAGAAAGGAAACCTATCCAAAACCTAGTAGGCCTAAGCATAACCACCCAAAATAGCTCTGATGGGGCCACTGAGGGCTCTCTGACGTAGCTGCAACAAGACTCACAGAAACCAAATAAGAAAGCTCCAGGTGGCTCTGCAGAACTGGAGTCTCAGGGTGCAGGCAAGCCACAGAGAAGACCCGAACCGTTAAGAGACAGGCTGAGATAATTGGTCTCTCGGCTTGGAGGGGAGTACAGAAGTGTTGTTCTTCCAGGGAGAATTCGCCCACCCTTCCCCAAGCTCTTCATTTCTTGGAACCACCAGCAGCAGTCGCTGGAGGTCCGCAGTATTCCAAAATTAGAGAGACACATGTGAAAACCACTGGGCAGCAGGGATACACCACTGCTTCAGCCAGAGCCAGATTCCTCCCTTGTCATCAAGCGGAATGCCAAGTATTCTGTCTCCAGCAGTGTTGCCAGGTAACAAGCTAGCAGAGGTCACAGCTGTAGGATCTAATGTCCAATTCAAATACCAGGCATTTTCCCACTAATAACCAACCCACTTGGGGACTTCCACAAGGACTTGCCACTGACTGCTCCTTTTAATATGCATCGAGACTCGGTTTCCAAAAGAGGTTCTGTGTGTGCGTATGCTGAGTTTGTCTGCTTTTGTTGCAGTTTGTTTGCATAAAAACCATGTCCCTTTGTGCTTTCGAGTCAGAACCAACCCATAGCTGACCCGCTAGCGGGTTTTCAGAGGCAGTAAATCACACAGGAGGAGACTGCACATCCTTCTGCCAGGGAGCAGCTAGTAGATTCGAACCACGTGCCTTTGGGATTGTAGCACTGCTTCTTACCAGTAGGCCACCAGTGCAGAAGGGTTGCAACGGGTAGAAATCTTGGAGAATGTATCTACTGACCACTGTTTTGCTGATGAACTGCTGATGTCTTTTGGGGGAACCTGGCACACCTAACACCTTCCAGTGACAGGGTGGAACTCTAGACACAAACCTTAAAAGAGTAAAGGCAAAAATGCCTGTTTCTCCTTGGCACAGCAGGGCTGGGGCCTAAGTCCCTCCCTCCCGCTATCCTAACTCTCCTTAGCAGCTACCACCCTGGGTTAAAAATTACCTCCTCCAGGACCAGAGTCAGGGCCAGGGCCAGGGCTGCCAGTGGGCCTCATCCACTCTTCCCCACTCCCATGACCACCCCAAGGGTCTCCTGGCAGTTCCGGAGAGGGTTTCTGTGACAACACACACCAGAAAGGGCCAAAGGACCTCCCCTGTCCCCCATCTTTTCTAGCCTTGAGGAGCCAGGATGAGGGGAGCCGATGTCCATCAGCAGAGTAGGACAACCTGCGCTAGTAATGGAGGCTAAATTCTGCTTTCTTTCATCCGCCTAGGGTCTTCTGGCCTAAGCTCAGAATACCCCAGAAGCTGTGGGACCGATGCAGTAAGGTGATTTTCTGTGCAGACTGTCAGGACTCAACGTGGCTGGGAGCCGGGCAGGGCCAGTAGCCAGCTGGGGGAAAAGGCTGGTCCAGGCGAGAGGGGACCCAGGATGGAGTCTCAAGAGCGTCGACGAAGGAGAAGGAGGACAGCCCAACAATAACAGAAAATGAAAAGGACGCTCGCTTCTCCAGTTGTCGCGTAAAAGGCTCCAAAAATAACTGACGTGGGCCTGACAGCGAACGGGGATTAGCGCGCCCCGCTGGAAAGGAAGTGGAAGTGTCCCCTCCTCGCCTTTGTCTGAGCAGGGACCGCGCGGCGGCCGGGCGCGCGCGGGGTGCCCCAGCCCCTGCGAGGCCAGTCTCTTTCCAGGGACGCGGGGCAGCCGCGATACTCGGAGCCCCGGGCACCCAGACCCCTGTCTCGCGACACAAGCGGGAGGCAGGCACCAGGAGTCCTCGCCCGCGCACGGCAGCAGAGCTGGGCCCGGCGTCACCAGCGCCACCAGTTGCCACCGTCCTTCAAGTCCCCAGCTGCCCGGAAGCGCGGGGCGGGGCGCCCGGAGAGACCCTCTCCCCAGTCCTTTGTGTGCGGGACCCCAGCCCCCCGGGTGGCCACCTCCCCGGCCCTCGCGCCCAACCGCGCCCCAGGCCCCTCTCCGCAGCGGGCGCCCCGCCCGGACCCCCGCGCAGCACTCACAGTGGCGCCGCGGCTGCTCTTGCAAGTTCGGGGCTGTCAGGGCCGCAGGCGCCCAGGCCGGTCCGGGGCCAGAGACCCTGCTGAGCGAGCGTGCGACCCGCAGAAAGCCGGCCATCCCGAGCAGGCGAGCGGACGACGGGCGGACGAGATACAGACGCGGGGCCACCACTCCCGGGTGCCTGGCCGCCGGCTGCCGCAGGGCCTAACTCGCTGGGGCCGCCCGGGCAGGACCGGGGAGGGGCCGCCACCGCATTGGGCCTCGCCGGGGAGGAGGCGGTGCCAGAGCCGGGCCCAACACCTCTTTGGGCAGCTCGGAGCAGGGGTGGGCCTGAGCCGCGAGCCCGCGCTTCCCTGGGAGCCCCCGGAGCCCCTGTGGGCCCCAGCAGGAGGCGATTGAGACCAGAGCTAGCTCAGAGGTGCCAGGCTGGGGCAGCTGCTGGTGAGGCTAAACTCTCTCCGCCAGGTCCCATTCAAACCCTGGTGTCAGCTGCTAACACGCTGGCTTAAACCAAGGGCAGAACTCTGGCCCGCTTCACATTTGCTGGCTGAATTGGACATTCAGGACATTGCCCATTATTCTACCTGAGAGCAACTTGTGGATTCGAACCTTGTGCCTTTGGATACAGAGCAGCTTTCTACCACTAGGCCACTAATCTCCTTTGTTGTTAGGTGCCATCGAGTCAAGTATGACTCGTCTGAGACCCTATAAACAGCAGACCTGAACCCTGTCCTATCCTGTGCCATCCTGGGCTGATGGTAGCTATGAGTTGAAATCTCACTTCTGTCTCCAAAAGGTCAAGCTTCCATTCCTGAGTCACTAAGCATATCCAGATTCTGTTCTTTTCTGTGCCACGTGGGGACTGGAACCATAACAGGACTTGAGAGGACACTTGGGTGAAACAGCGTATAGGCATGCTTCCAAGACACAGTAGGTTCCGTTCAAGAACACTGTAAGTATCACAAAAAGGCAAATCACACCATTCTATGGTCATTCGATGTGCACAGAACTCATGTTTACTCCATACTGTGGTCCAGGTGTCCTGTTACATGTCACAGTGCTAATCATCCTGAGGGAGTTGGAATCCACCCACTGCTCAGCAAAGATGGACAGTCTCCTGCCGTGAGGACTCTCAGCCTTAAAAAAACCCATGGGGTGAGGGGTCTCTAAAAAAGGATTGCACAGCAGAGTCTGGTTTGGTTTTGTTAGTCTCTTAAGTGTACGACAGCATTATGGAAAAGTTTGAAATATTGTGAGAATTACCAAAATGTGACAGACACAAAGTCAGCACATGCTGTTGGAAAACACACCAGAGAGAGACTTGTTCTATGCAGAATTACTTCAAACCTTCAATTTGTTTAAAAAAAGAAGAAGAAAAGAAAAGAAACCACCACGGTATCTGTAAAATTCACTAAAATGAGGTATGCCCATATGTAAGAGCCTTGGCACACGCTCAGCACACAATAATACCAACCACCAGTGTTTAGAACATTCCAGATTTGTAGTCACGCAATACATGCAAAAATAAGCTCAACTCCAAGGAGGCAAACCACTCCATTTGTGCCTATTTTTCACTCAGAAGACAATACCAATTGGTTCTACAAATAACCAAAGTTTCTCTCCCCACCCAGTCTCTTGAAATGAGACACCAGCTGGGGGACTGATTTTATTTCTCGAAGTCTGACAGCTGCCCAACTCCCCTTTTACCATGACACCCACTAACTCCAAGTCCCGCTCTTTCTCACTGCTGCGCTCCCAGCCCTCCCTCCTTTACTGCCTCCAAGTCAGCATTGCCAGATGGAGCCAGGCCAGGAAACTAACCTTGAACTAACGACTTCAAAGTTCCCTGACTGCTGGCAGGCAGTCAAAGCCAGGCAGAGCTGCAGCCTAGGCCTGGGGATCTGCAGGGACTGGGATTGAGAGGGAGATTGCTTTTGAACCCACATATCTGAGGCCCTGAGCCAGCTCATCCCAGAAGCCTACATCCTCCCTTTTCCACTGTTCTCAGTCCATCTTGCTCAAAACACAAGTGGATGTGCTGGAAGACAGTTGGGAAGAAGCAAAATTCACCTTCAAAGCTGACTCCTAGTCCAGTGTAGTCTCAGGCAGCAAGAGGTGGACAGAGGAGGAAAGACGAGTCCCTATGCACTGCCATTGTTTGGAATTTCCGGTGGTTGTAACCCTAGGCAAGAAGATACTGCAGAGAAAGATGGTGTTTAAAGAAAAAGGACTTAACTTCTCTTGTGTATGTCTGTAGAATTGGAAACTCACTTTTCCACATTTTTTTTTTGGTGAAACCCCAGTTATTTCCTGTAGACCACAGTTCGACTGTGACACTCATAGGGCCACCATGAGTGGATGGGTTGGAATCCACTCAATGATATCTAGTTGAACTGAACATATGTGTTCAGTAGGAGCAAATTCAAACAAAAAAATAAAGAAAGACTCCCCTTTTGTTTTCAATACTCATGTTAGAAAACATATTGTGTAGTAGTGAGAACTTTGTCTCTGGAAAGTCTGTAGATCAAATGTGTTTCCTCTAGAACTTGGGGAACCCTGGCCTCCTAGTTTCCTGAAAGGCATGCAGTATAATTATCTACCATAAAAATTCTACAAAATTGGCAATTTTATCCTGAAAGCATGAATATACAGAGTTGTACAGAGTAAAATTCCTTTCTGTTTTTACAAAAATCTTTCTGTTTTTGTAAAAGGCAAAAGATTTATACAATCTGAAGAGAAACCAGAGTTGTACAAGTGTAAAATTCCTTTCTGTTTTTTGCAATCTCCTTAACAGATTGCCTGTAATATATCACATTCAGGTTGAATGCTAATTCAATAACACAACTGTTTTCTTCTATTTTGGAGCAGGCATTTTTTTGGATTGGGAGTAGATGTTGGGTTTGATTCTATTTCCTCAATAGTTGTGGTCAGTCCCTACCCTCTGGGGTCAGATGGACATCTATGTAGTCATTGCAACCCTAGGCCCCAAAGGAAAGTGTCCCAAGGCAGCCAGGAGGAATTTGGATGCAGAGTGAGGTCTTCAACAAAGAGCTCATTCTTAAGGGTGGAAGTTTTGCGTTGCTTTGTGGGAAAACCCCTATTATGCAGGCTCATCGAGGATAGCTGAGAGTTGGAAGAGTCTATGCAGATGAAAGACTGACTTCATCAAGCAGGTCCTCCAAGAATCTTAGTTGTTAAGATGTATTTGTCAGTGTGGTGTCAGAAACCTTGATTGACTTTTGATAGAAAAGTCTATGCATTAGCCCCCATTGGGGACATGGTTTCCAACTACCTTTACTACAAACACATGGTTTTAAAAATCATCAACAAGGGGAGCTCTGGTGACCTAGTGGCAAGGAGCTGCAACTATAATTCCAGAGGCGCACGGTTCGAATCCACCAGATGCTCTGCCGGGGAAGGAGGGACAATCTCCTCCTGTACCAGTCAGATCTGATTTGATGGTACATGCACACAAAAATAATAAAATAAAATAAAAATTTTTAAAAAATCATCAACAGCTGTGAGACCAATATAAGAGAATGCTTTCCACACTGAAAAAAGTGATGGAAAGAGGGTGAAGAGACTGTGACACTGCTGTGAAGAGACTGTAGCAGGTATAACCAGAGGAACCCTGGAGATGGAACCATAGTTAAAGGTTTTGCTTGCTGGATGACTGAAGGAAAAGCTGATTTGTAATTGCTCTGAGATAAAGTTTGCTGGATGATTGAGGAAACCAGAGGTACATTTGTGCTGCTGAACTGAACCTGGACTTTCACTAATTGTAGAATCATGGCTTGTTAATCTGGTTTGGGATTATTGGACTAAACTTGGACCTTCATGGTATTATATTCTTTGCCTCTCCAATCTATCCAACCTATTTCCCTAATAAACCCCACAACTGTGAGTAAAGTTTGTGAGTCAAGTTGCAACAAACATTGGATTCAATAATTGTTAGAAATAAGTACAGGACCATGTGGGATGGCATGTCTGACCATGGAGCTGTTTTTTTAGTACTATAGATACTATTGATGGGGACAATTCCCCTTTATGAATCAGGTAGAAGTCAGACTTAGCCATCCTCATGTTGTAGCTACTCCTTTTCCAGTCAACAAACACAAAGTGGAATGTTTAAGTCCCTTTTCTTTAAACTTCATCTTTCTTTGTGGTGTTGTTCAGACTTGGGTTATCATCACCAGTGAGGATAAACAAGGGATGGCATCGGGCACTTGGGGTGAGGAGAGACTATAGATAAGAAATGGGAAAGAAGATCAGGCTCAATAAGTCAGTGGCAGGCCCAGCATGAGCTTCTTGAAGGGATCTCGAAGGTAGAGGGACTTCAGGACTGGTGTGGAAGGATGAGATGGCCAGAACTTGCAGCTGCATCAGCATAGGGCACAAAGCAGGAGAGACTGAGCTGGAATAATGGCAATACCTTATTGGTAGTTGGGAAGCAGGAGGGGTGGAGGGTTGGAGGAGGAGTGGAGAGCAGGGCTATTTATGGCTGTCTCTAAATTTATTTCCCTGTGAGCAGTCTGCCCTACCTCCACCTCCTAGCCTCCCCTTACCCACTGCTTCCAGCACTGTTTCCAGAAATACAGCCCAGAACAGTTTCTTAACAGCTCATAAACCTACAATACCTCCCCACTGCCTAATACAATCAACTCTCAACAGTTTGTAACAACCCACAGTCTTCATTTTCCTCACCATCCTTCTCTCTGCTGGTTCCTCTATTCAAGAACCCTCAGTTTAGCCATTTCCTCAGCAGTCCCCCCTTCTGACCCCTTACACTGCCCCTTCCTCCCTTTATCCACAGGGCCATTCACATACTTTCGACCCTACAATTTTTTAAAAAAAATAAATATACAAAGTGAACATAACAAAAAGAAATGGTCTACACAGAAGCACTCAGGAAGTAGCATATGATCAAGAACCAATGGCAACAAAGTAAGAAGTCCAAGCTGCATTGAAAGCATAGATTAAAAAATGTAGTTCCAAGAATTGATGGAATATCAGTGAAGGTAGTTCAACAAGCAGACACAGCCCTGAATATGCTAATTCACCTATGCTAAAAGTTTTGGAAAATAGCTGCCTGGTCTAATAACTTGAAGAAATAAAAAAATTTTCCCATTCCAAAAAAAAAAGGTAATCCAACAACAGACAGAAATTAAGGGTCAATATCTGAAAATTGTCCTATTTTTTGGTCAAGAAGTCAAAACAAAGGGAAGTGATGATTTAGTA